GAGTACAAGAGTATTTATATATGTCTAAGTCGGCTAGGTCTAACAAATAAGAGATAAGGAAGTTTTCCGTATTTCTCGAGATTTCCTATTTCTCGTAGTCGGCGCTTGCCATATGCTTCGTTATCTTGGGCCTGACCTTGCCACCTCGCCATATTGCCATCCTGCCAACTTGGGCTTGTGTTCTCAGCCCACCTTCACGTAGTCGGCCCAAATAAGTTAATATGGGTCGACTTTGTCGAGCTTTTTACTGCGCCGGTGTCACGAGGGTTAGTGGTCGGCGCAACTGATGGTTGGCAGTGGCAGTAGTCGGCAGAAGAGGAGAAGTCGACAAGAGGCAGAAATAGTCGGCGGATCATGCCAGTGTTAGACGAAACGAGCAACTCTGGCAAGTTGTCCAGGTCTTCAGAGTGAACCAGGCACCTTCCCATTTATATTCATTTCTATACTTAGCCATTTTACAAGAGAAAACTGTCGGAGGGAGTTTTGACCCCAACACCGCTTGTCTTTCTGCTAGCCGTGACTCCTCCCCCCAAACCTCTCCCCCCTCTCGACTCTCCCTTTGAACTGGATCTAACCTATCCTCTCTATCGAGTTTCTGTCTCTGCACGAATGCCGAAGAACCACTCCGGTGATATGATAGAGACGAACCTTTACCGGCGTTTGAGCTTTGGCCCTCTCAGTCTCGGATCCAGCCTTGACGGAGCTGAAGAAACAAGCCTAATTTTCGTCGGCTACCCCGGCGAGACACCTTCGGGCCTTCACGACCTTGGTAATTTGTTTTCTTCTCCGTCGTTCTCCATGAAGTACGGCGAGTTATCTAGCTGCCTTGTCCTGAGTCTCGGACAAAAGATCCAATCGCGGACGACGGTGCCAGATCCACACCTATTGCCTTGTCGCCATCAAACCCTAGATCTGATTTTAATCTCTGATTCGAGAAGCTGCTTCACCAACATCCTCGTCGACGGCAAAACTTCCGACCACGAACCTATTATCATCATGGGCGCCGGTACGGGTAACCAAACTACGCATCCACCACTTGCAATCCCTACGACACCGCAGAGAAGCTGTCTCCGGGACCGACCATCCTCCGCCCTTCTTCGGCCAAGACCGATGCATTCCTATGCGATCTTCAAAAGTTTTTGGGCTTGCCCCGACACTACTATTGGGCCCAGTTATATGGCCCATCTCTCAGCTTGTTCTTCCAATGAGAAATACATAATTTTTGGGTTGGGCCAATTGGGTCTGGGCCCATGTAGAAGATGAAGCATCTTAGCTCAACAGGCTAATTCTGCAAACATAATGAACCGATGGTATGTTTTGAACTTTATCTGTTTATATTTAAAATAGTGTCGGATTCATCATCATGGACATTTCTGAGTTATTTGTACTATCTAGCTCTAGAGGATCAAAGTTTTCTGGATTCTCAAATCCTGTAGTTTTTAACGTTTATATCTCTTCTATTGTGAGAAGACACAAGTTTTCTGGGTTTTCAAACCCTGTAATTTACTCCTGGTGGAAGAGTCAAATCCCACCGTCTTCCATCTCTTTGAGACTGGTTGTATCTTCTACTCTCTCTTTGAGAGGGGTCGAAATCCCGAGCTTTTTGCCGGGACCTTCAAAATCACATTCAAACGTGATTACCATGAGACTCTCCGGCCTTGCTGCGAAGTCCTTCTGGACGCATCTGAGGCATACCTTGGATCCGCTGTCCAGCATCTTCTGCGATGATCTATCTGTTCTAAGTTTTATTGATTTTCAATTATGTTGTAGTAATGCTGGAGGATGCTTAATTCCCTCCCTTTATACTTTGATCGGTTAAATGAATGAAATAACTTTGTTGACAAAAAAAAAATGTTGTTGCCATAACAAAAAGAATAAATTAACATATAACGAGTGTTTATGATTAAAAAATGGGATTTATCAATAAACAAAACTAAACGAGATTTATCAATAAACAAAACTCCCACTTTTAATTTTTCATGTGATCATATCTGACTATTTGATTCACCAAATTCCTTTACTTTGTGTATATCTTGATCTGTTAGATTTGAGTAAATGGTGACCGCGCATCACAATTTAGGCTTTAGAATGCACGGGGATCGAACTTGGAAATCTGGAGATTTCAAACACAAAAGTACGATTCTGCCATATTTCATATCTTTGTGGGTCGTAATTTTTATTCATCCAAGCTTAAAACAACGACATATAATGAGTGTTTATGATTAAAGTAATAAAATGGGGTTTAACAATAAACAAAACTCCCTCTTTTAATTTTCCATGTGATCATATATATCTATTTGATTCACAAAATTCCTAGTATCTTATTAATATAAAATACATGCCATCATTATAAATCCATGAAACTATTTTCGGATAAAGCAAAAGAAAACGCGAATTAGAATTATGTTAAGCATCATTAATCTCTCCTTCGTTGCCACAAGCGATTATCTCATCCGCAAGTCAGTTGCAAAGCGCCATGGTCCGAACGATGTTATTGATAGGTCTGATATTGTTAGCTGTTTGAGTCATTTCAAGCCGAAACTCCAAATGGATAACAATAGTCACCAAGAGTGGCTTGGCCTGATCCCTAGCGCGCGTTGCCTAACAATAGCAGGAGCCTCCATCTTCTTTTTTTAAAAACTATGTTCCACATGTAATTATATAATATTTACCAACGTATCGGGATGTTCGTTGTTA